CATAGTGTAGCTTTAAGTTCAGGTGTGCTGGTGATGGGATTTAACAAATCTGTGTGATGTCTGGGGGCATCCAGGAGACATCTTGAACCAAACTGCTTTGATTTTAAATAATGTATGTGGCAAGTGTGTATAATAGCAGCCCAGAGATCAATGCAAACAGCTAATACAAACACAGAAACGTGTAAATAAATTCCTTTATAAAGTCAAACTTAAATGCAGTATAAACCAAATAATGGCAGATATCCTGTACGTGAAACAAAAACCGAATGCTTGAGCTGTGCTGTGACTTACAAATCAGCTGTAGCCTAAAGAGAGCCTTTCATAAGGATGAGCATCTGTGGTGCGGTGGAGAAGCGTTGTGGTTAGTGCTTCTGAGGCAAAATGCTTCACTTAACTGCGCTCTCATGGAAAATGTCCCCATGTATGGCAGTGACATGTTACTGCTGTCGTCATGCCGCAATCGCAGTGCTTCAGTGAACAATAAACACTGTTCTTGAGTCAAATTGCATTGAGTAACAAATAGATCCCAATTTCAGTACGATTTCTCGTGCAGCTTCAATTCAGTGCATCATGAATGTTACATTCCACTACAGTTATTTTGGTGCGATTTAGAAATATTTTGGAACGTGCACTTTAAAGGACGAATTCCACTGATTTTTACAAATTTCTGCATGATTCAAGCCCTGAGATGGAAACAGTCATTCAGAGTAGTTTGATATGACATGCTCAACTCTAGAGGAACTTTGTCTGGTTGATGTCATTTACTGTGGTGGTGTCAGGGACCAGGGGTCACGATGTCTGCAGTGCAAATATAGCATATCTGATTTACTATCCAAAACCACCAGTGAACCTACATATGTCTTCCGAGTTTTTCTATGTGATACAGATGGTAAAGCAGTGAAAAATCTGAAAAAAAGTTCTGCTTTGCCTTACAGTGCCCGGCGTGTACATCTCTGCCATAAATTGATTTGTAAATATATATTTTAGGCTAAAACTTTATCTTAAAACTGTTGTAAAACAATGTCTCTGGCATCAGTCAGCTTATTCATAACCATTTTATGTAATAACTTTCTCTGAAGTAGTTTTTAGAGCCATTAAACATTTTCTTTCACCACCACTCACTAAGTTTCTCTACAATGGAGTATCTCACTACGGACCACTTTGAATGACTGTTTACATCTTAAACATTAAATTATGCAGATGGTAAAATTCCCTTTCAATACACAGATATAAAAAAAAGACATAGAAATTAGTTACATTTTATGACCACTAACGAAACAAAATCCCCAGTGTTGAATTAACTCCATGTTCACTTGTGTCCAGCTGCATCTGATTTAATACTGTAGGTGTCAGTGTTTTTTTGTTTTTTTTGTATTTTGTTATGCAGAAAGGATTGAGGTTTTATTGAGTTTGTGTCTGTATGTGTACGTGCTGTAGACTAGTAAGTCCACATTGAGTTCATTGGGGCAGTGTAAAAGGGGGCCCATGCATGCGTGTGGCTGATGTGGACACACGGCTCACACTTCTCCTCTATAGGGACAGAGCTGCTATTGTGTTCCGGCAGTCCTCACATCTGCAGATGACTCTCTGCTATGCTAGCTCTCTCACCCCTCTCGCATAGCCATTATTCTCTCTCTAACATACTCGCTGTCCTCATCATCTCCATTCATACATGCTTCTCTTTATCCACTTTCACCACTCTCATATTAGAGATACCACTGGTCAAATGTATCACGTAGATACCAACAGAAAAAACTCAGAAAAGTCTCATACTGGATGATCAAAAAAGGGTAAACAAAAAAAGAATAGTTTTAAATGGTTAATAATTGTTATTAATTAGCTCATAACACCTTTAGTTAAATAGGCAAAAGTGACCTGTTGTTTGCCAAATACTGAACCCACATTCATGTATACGGCTAAACCTCAGATCTTGCTGGTTACTTGTCTTACTTTGTGTTCTCCATCAGTCAGCACTATACTTGTCAACTTCATCAGATATTTATTTTCGTCAGAGGTAGCAGGTCACTGGTGTTTTTTTTTTATTATTATTTGTTATAACTGCTTATCAAGGACTTCTGTTCATAAACTCTTCATAAAGATAGACTTACTGTTTACTGTAGGGCTGAACAATTTTGGAAAAATATCTAATTGCAATTTTTCTGACCGATATTGTGATTATTTAATTGCGATTGTTTTCTATATATTGAGGTACAGGACTTTTTTGGGCTAAGAAAACCAGCATATACTTTTTCTGGCTTAAGGCTTGAAGGCTTAACACAATATCTAAGTTAAGTGTTAACACAGTATTTAAGTTAAATGACACAACAGCCTGCCAGCTAATTGTGGTTGTCATGTCACAGCACATGAGTGTTTGGTTGCTTCTGATTAGTCAAATTAATCTAAAAGCAGTTCACCAGCCCCATGTTATTAGGATAAATTTCCCTTATTAAAAACTTGGAACGCATCAACATTGTTGAGAAGACTGAGATTATTATAATAAAAATTTCAGCTCTTGCAATTTTAAAAATTGCATTCTTTCAAATTGTGATTGATTTAAAAATCAATAATCTTTCAGCCCTAGTTTATTAGTTTAGTGACCTTGTGTTTTATGCTCCATTTATAACCACCAAAGTAAATATAGGAGAGCTTTTATCATGTAAAATAGTAAAAATAAAGCTTAACAATATATAGATAAACCTATATTATTATTGCTTTCTATCACTAACCCCAGCAAAATGATACTAAATGTTTCATATCTACAAGGTACTTATTTGTTTGAATTTTCTGTTCTATCTTAAACAGAGCAGCAGTTGTATTCTGGCATATATACAGGTGTCTGGATGTAACTGCAACACCATTTAGGGAGGAACAGGAATTTCAAATAAAAAGCCAACTTCAGCTTTAGTGTTTATCTGTGTATATTTGTGACATACCGATATGACCCACTGGCATCTCTGTTGAATGATAAAATATCATCATGTTGCCCACCCCATGTATGTATCCTTTCCAGTTATTATGTATTTCACAAAAGTGAAGAAATATTGAATCAACTTAATCAAAGTTTCCTTTCACCAGGTCTTTGCGGTAGTCACCTTCGTGCTAAAAAGCTCTCTTCTCAAAGCTGAGATTGTGTTAAGATGTCACATGCTCGTGGCTGTTTTTAGGCTGAAAGCACACTCCCTCGCATTGTTACTGAGTTAGGTTCTGTTAGTCTTCTGGTGGGATGAGGCTCACAGCTACAGATCATCACAAGCCCACTGTATGTGAATTGGACATGAACATATGCAACAAACATTGCTTTTCAGAGGAAACATGTTGCATCCTGTTCTGAAAAGGTCACGAATTATTCTTCTAGCCTGTTCCTCTTTCATTCTTTTTTTTCCCCCTTTCTTCTAAGGTTCTGTGTGGCTTTGTGTGGTTATGAAGCCAGGGCTGAGAGTGATGGTGTCAGAACATGGTCTGAATATAGACATGGTGAGGCTTGTTCCTCATTCTCCTGAACTGAAAGCTATCAGTTACTGTATTGCCAGTCAGCTGTTCTTTCGCAATAACCTCCCTTTGTGGTACATCCATGAAACTCTGTGCTTTTATCTCTCTCTCTCTCTCTCAGTGTTGCGGACACATGGAGAGCTCTTGCTCCGTTTCTGTGTCTGTGTGGATCAGTTGTGGTGTCTCTCTGCAGGGCGCCTGCAGCGCTCTCAGGGCCACCTGTTCCTTCAAGGCCTCACTCACATTTCTCAGTCCCATGCACATGTGCAGCTGGCCCAGCAGAGCCAAGTAGTGCTCTCACACACGCGGGCCTGGCGGCAGGAGCAGGGCGAGATTACACACTCCTTCCTCAAACTATCCTATCAGATCCCCTCGACTCCAGTCTACAAAGACAGCACAGATGCAGCTGCTCCACAGTGTAGGGGGCATTAGAGTTGTTTCCACTGGGTACTTGCTCTTCTCCCCACCACCACTTTTCAAAGTCAAGTTTTGTTTTCACACTGAAAAACCCTTTATCCTTACTTTTACCTATTTAATACATGCTTTTATTTGTGAACAAGACAAATAATGCTATATCCAGATATCCAGTTCACTAATTGTAGCATTTTCTGGAGACAGTATCTAAAGGATCCACAAATCTTTTCATGTTTTTTGTGGTCATTTCTGTCTATTTAGCTTGGTCTTCGTCCACCTGCAGGGTTGTAGCTGCAGCATCTGTGCTAAGACAAGCTGTATCAGAGCATAGTCAGAATTTGACGTTGTGCTTGACATGGGGGCGTTCTTAACAACGTAATCGAATTTTAAGAGTTGTGATGTTTCTGATTCCTGTCTGTCTGTCAAACCCCATTTATTTAGAGTAATGCAATGTTATGTTGCCCCCGTTGTTCTTCTCCCACCTCTAGTAAACAGGGTGACTTATTAAGGTAACGTTAGCTGCCATGTCTGTCAACTGAGGTTGGCAGGACTGTCACCCATCGTAGTTGCATACCTATTGAAACCTAAAGGCTATAAAAAGTTACATGTCTACTCTTTTATGCACTGTTTGTGAAACCGTTTTTTCCTTGTGTTTCCTTCCATTGCTATGATGGATCAGGTCTCTGTTCTCAAAAGTTCATTAAAATCAGCTGTCGTCCCTGCTGACTCCAAAACTAGTTTTGCGGTACAACAGAGTAACAAAGTCTCTGAGCCGCAGTATCATTAGGCTTGATTTGCAGGTGATAGGCACTAGTATAGGCAGGACTGTTCATTTTGACTAGTCGTTTAAAGTCGTTGACTAGTGGTCAGTTACTATATTTTACTATAGTGTTGGAGCAGGGAAGGCACAGTGCCACTTCCATGACCAACACTGCACAGTGTACAGTGCCACTCCATGACCAACACTGCACAGTGTACAGTGCCACTCCATGACCAACACTGCACAGTGTACAGTGCCACTCCATGACCAACACTGCTCTATAGACTTTAGTTTGGATGTGATTTTAAGTACTATAAACTTTCTCTTCTCTCCACAGGCTTGACTATGGGTTGTGTCAAGAGTAAAGAGGACAAGGGCCCGACGCTGAAGTATCGGCCAGAGGCCTCCAATCCCACCACCGTCCCCTCCCACATGGGCCACTATGGACCAGATCCCACCCAGATGGGCCAGTCACCTGCCCTCAAGGGCCCAAATAACAGCTACAACAGCCACACCTCTGCTCTCACCCCGTTTGGTGGCTCCTCGTCCACCATCACCCCATTCGGTGGAGCATCTTCCTCCTTCTCCACAGTTGCTGTGAGCAACCCCTTCCCTGGTGCTGTCACAGGTGAGTGGTCATGTATAGGAAGCAGGGACTCTGCCTGCATGAAGAGTGTTTATAGGGCTGTCACTCATTTATGTTTTAATAACTGAGTAATTAGTTAATTAAGTACTAATTGTTTTGACAATTAACAAAAGTAAAAGTATCAGTTTTTAAAAGTTGTAATTAAAAAAGTAAAAAGGACTTTACTGAGCAATAACGAATATGCATAGCTTAGCAGAGGTTTTAAATATGGACAAAAGTATGTGAACACTCCTTTTATTTATTTGTTTCAAGCCACTCTCATTACTAACTGGTGTGTAAAATCAAGAACATGTCCATAGACAAACATTGGCAGTAGAATGTGTCGTACTGAAGAGCTCTGAATTAATCCTCATGGTTTTGGAATATTAGGTGAAGTGTCCATATACTTTTGGCCTTATAGTGTACTTTATTGGGAAAAGAAAAATGTGTCCACCAGGTTTGTTTTGTACTGTAAGAGAACAAAATGTGTATCATGCAAATTGCCAACTAATTATTACCAATTCAAGAAGATTTTTTTTTTTTTTGTAATCGATGCAGTCTTTTCTTTTTTCCTTTTTTTTTCTTAGAACTTAATTTGAGTAATCAAGTACAATTTCAGTAATCATGGAAGCCTTTAAATGGTGCAGTACAGGTTTTGTGAAACCTTATAACACCACTGTCAGTGGAGACTAGGGTTTAGAAACTCAGAAAAATATTAACAGTAATGGGGTTTAGTGTTTACTTGTCTTGTACTAACTTGCATTAGCTTGTTCATCGTCTCAGAAATGTGTGTTCTCCCGAAAGGAGCAGTTTGCTTGTGTCTCTGCTGCATGGGGTTTCTAAATGTGCGTTTTATGGAGGCCAGATGTTATGCAAATGACGCTGCAAACATAAAATGCTACACTAATATGTCACGCTCAAAGAGAATTCCAAATTACAGTTGTGTGGTTGGGGGGGAGGAGAGAAGTACAGCTAATGCGATTCGTTTCTGTTCTGTTTTCTCGCTGATAATCTCTCTATTTCTTCAGGCAGGACAGTGAATGGCTCTATTGATGCTGCTCGTCTCTTTTCAGTGACTTTTCAGTGGGTTATTTGTTGTCATGTCAGTCTGCACCTAAAAAGAGACTGCTGATAACTAAATCTTTGTCTGCATTCTATAAACTATTCATAGATACATTTAAGGCATTTATCCAATGGTGGATTCGAGCCATTTTGTGATGCAGTAAAAGGGCAGTTTGGAGATTAGTGCTGCCATTTTGTCTGATTGACTGTGACGGAGAGTTTTCTGAGCTGAAAACCAGTGAGGTCAGAACTGAATGGTCTCAAGGGAGGGATCGGAAGCCTCTCTGTTTCTGTGAAATCCCCTAAGAGGGAGAAGAGATAAGGTTGTTTGTATGTAGCTTGTATTATGTAAGGTGTGTCTGGTATTGTTAAGAAATGTAATGATTGGGAAGTGACAATCACATTTAACAGTGAAACAAATCAATCAAACATTAGTCAGTAAAGCACTGTTTAACACTGTTTTTATGGCTGCTTTCCCAGATGTGGATTAAGCCTAATCTTGGACTGAAGCACAGTGGCAGTGCTAAATCGCCATTGGAAAAGAAATTAGTCTGGCTTAAGCTTAATTTGGGTCTGGAAAACTGGCCCTTGGAGTCATTTTTGTTTTTTGTAGTATATTGACATCTTTAGTTGACCGTATACACGACTGTGTGTGTTTTTTTTTTTTTTGTTTTTTTCTTCCCAAAAAACTGAAGCTGTTTTGTCTGATGTTTGAAACAACACACTGCTCTGAGGATGTCCTAAACCAAACACCAACAGCAGGCTTTGTATACAAGCAGCAAGACAAGCACAGCTCAACATCTTTGTTTCTAGACCAAAATCGGCTGGTAGGTGCAATAAATGTTTTTTTATGTAGAATATCACCTAAATTATTCAAGTTCTATGGTTATTATCAGCAAATTCACAGTATGATGCATATCATGTCACAGGTGTCTAGGGTTTCACAGCATTATTCAAATAATATTAAACTTGTACCACCACCAAGCCAGGATAAAGTGTAGAATGAAGCAGGTTGAGGATGAGCCCTGCCATGATGAACACTGTATGAAGACAAGGACGTAGCTGGCACACACAAGTAGGCTGCTAGCTGTTAGTATTTGCTCTCATTCGCCTTCCACCAATTCAGAGGACCATGTCAAGTGTTATGCACGTGTCCTTGCAGTAGTGGTGAAGTTCTGCTTGAGTCATTTCTGCTGTTTTTGTGTTGTAATTTGTGCTGAACAGGACCACTATGGCAGATGTGGTGGCCATTAAACCCTGAAATCACAACGCATCAGTTGTTTTGCTCAGTTCAGCTGCAGGGCTCTTGTGCACATTAGCTGCTGCTGAAAGTTGAAAGAAACTCTTGCACTTTTCTTTCTCCAGCTCATTGAATGACATCTGTAGTGAACCTCAGGAGTGTGTGGCTTTGGGTCGAGAAACAATACACTTCTTCTTCTTCTTCTTGTTCTTCTTCTTGTTCTTCTTCTTCTTGTTCTTCTTCTTCTTGTTCTTCTTCTTGTTGTTCTTCTTGCCTCTGACCAAAATGTCAGTTGTACAGTGCCCATTTTAAACATTTTTTCATGAATATTCAAACATTCTCATCTCACTCTCATGCCTAAAGGTGCCACAATACGATCTGTTAACACACCAGACAGCGGACATTTTTGGACAATGTTTACCTTAATTGTTTTAAAAACTACTACCTAAATAGTGAATAAATAAGGTTATAGAGAAATATAGTGACATTTTTAATGTTTCTTAATTTTGAAAAGAAATGCAAGAATAACAGTAAATTAAACAATGCTTGGGGAGCTTCCAAGAGTAGGTTTAGTTCACTCTGAGGTGCTTGAGCACAAGGAGACAGAGGAAGGAACTTTCTGCACTTTTAATCAAATAAACATCAGCCCAGGAGGCAGTAGTCAGTATTTGGGCAGCGTGGGAGAGTCTGTGGCTGTAAAATTAGCAGCGAGGAACCAAATGTTTAGTAACACGTCCCACACGTTACATACAGCACAGTAACATCATCCGTTTAGTTTTTAACTCTGCTAACATGAAGCAGCTCTATAAACATGTACCCAGAATGATAATGGCTAAGCGCTAATCACAGCAAGCTGAAAAACTAATAACTCACTACAACCTCAAACTAAACCACAACTGTAAAAGTGAAATCAACTTGACCACGCAACTAACAAGGATCATAGATGCAACAGGTAACAAGATGCACAAGATAAACTAATGAATGAACTTCACTCTGCTTTGGTTCTTTCTGAACGTGCAATGCATAGAAAAAAACAAAGTACAGCAAATTCTTCAAATTAAAAAGCAAAAAGCTCATGTTTTACATCACTGATCAGCTCTCAGGATTGGCTAAGAAATACCGGCCACTCGCCGGGCGCATATTTGGGCTGAAAATGGGCCAATATCGATACGTAGCCATTTGGTCGTTCCATCAATAATCAAAACAGTGATGGCATATCGCCACAAGCTTAACCATGATATATTGCTGTACCAATATTTTGAACACAGCCCAAATACCGCCTGACATGTTTAAAATGTGTTTGTGTGTGAGGATGCTAGTGTCTTGCCAGGGTTTGCATGAAATAAATTGATGAATGAACGTGTTTTTTTTTGTTTTGTTTTTTTGTTTTTTTTTAATCCAGCAGTAGAGTATGGTCATTGAAGGTTAAAATGACATTTTATAAAAATCTTTGTAAAAAGGACATGCATTTTTATAACTGCATATATAATTGCATTTATATCTGTGCATTTTATTTTATATTTCAAATACAGTTCATGCAGTCAAAGCTTTTATTTTCAGTTATTGAAACTGTGCTGGTCTGGTTGCAATATTTGACCTTCTAGTTGTGCCACCTGACTTTTCAGACTAAATTTCAAATTAAACAGGCATTCACTTAGACACCCGTAAGAACACCTTTGTTTTTTAGTTTATACTTACATTTTTTAATTTATAAACATTATTATAATAATTACACATTTTCATGGTTTTCCTGAGGTCTCACCACCTGACATGGTAAACTGAACCATTCTAACCACGACTGAGAAATTACATTTTTTCCAAAAATTGTAAAGTGACCTTGTCGTTTCACCATTGTCACTTGCTGTCTTATTTATGATGCAAAACCCTGGCTGCTCTTTTGTAAAAGCATGTCAAAATAAAAGTCCTTTGTTTTAGGTTGTCCTGCTTGACATTTAGGGAAGTATAAACTTGCAGGATTTATTTTTTTTTTACCCCCCTAACGTGGATTTTATTTTAATGTTCAAGTATAAAATCATGCCAGCCTGTTTTATTTAGAATTTCATATAACTAAATTGCCTTTTTATAGGTTACTTCATACAACATGTATAGTTGGACAGTTGCACCACCTGATATGGATGCACTGAAAATTTTCATATAAAAGAGGTATTCTTGAATAATTTGTTGTATGTTATTTATTTGTTAAATAATTTTTTGGAAAAGTAATGGACTTGAAAATTCTGTTAACTTTCGCCAAGCACAAGCCTAGTTTGGCCCTAGACTCAGTATTCCTGTTCTAATGCATGTTTGTAGGCTTCTGCAAAGCTTTTTCCAAGAGAGTCCAACTCAGTGACATAACGATGCATGTTACAGCTGGGCATAATGAGCCACTAATGTACTTAAGATGACAAAACATAACAGTCCAGTCAAACAATGATGACACATGCGCCATTATGCTAGATAATATTTGATCCGAGTGTTGTATTTGCTTGATGGTATGAGGGTTGTAATCACTGAGCCAGTGCTATGGTCTTGAGTGACTCAGTCAGTGAGGGATAATCTAGTGTTCATGGTTGGGGTGGGTTGTTCTGCTTTAATCTAATTCAGCCCACTGGGTTTCTCCCACTGATGAAGTCTTCTCAGCTTAGCTGTCAGTCCAGGCCCATCTCCACCACACGTAAACATCACCTCTGGAGACAGCCATTGTTTATGTAATTAGAGACGAGGGAAAGTCGATTAGTAACTGACTGTTCTGAGTAATTAGATAGTAGCACATCGATAAGTATTGCTTATAGTGTTCTATAAATACTGCACTAAATTGTATTATGTGAAAGAACTGGAACCTGATGCCTTAATTGTACACAACAGCAGGATTTTATTACTTGATATAGCTTCTATTATTCTACTTTCTACTTTATGTTGAGTCAATTCTTATTAGATCGCACATTGATTTCTCAGGTTGTTTGCTTGAGTCTGATATGATTGCTTCTGGCCCTGATATGTGAGTTCATTCCTTTTTTGTTCTCCTTGTAGGAGGTGTGACATTCTTTGTGGCCTTATATGATTATGAAGCCAGGACATCAGATGACCTCTCATTCAAGAAAGGTGACCGGTTTCAGATCATCAACAACACGTGAGTGATCACCTCTGATTGTATCCACCACTGATTGGACCCTGGTGCTCTGGATAGAAAGGTGGTCCAGCAGCCTGAACTGAATAGAGCAGGATTTTGTTTTGAAAATATATATATTTTTTTCTTTCCTCCTTCTTTAATCTGTCATTGTATTGAAGCCTTGTACAGGGTGGAATCTGGGTTAATACTTTCTCTTAATGGACCATCTGTTCAGTCAGCGGTCCAGTTAGGCTTTTAATAAACATGCCACAGTCCCGGCTATGAACGGGCACTCCTCGCAGCATAGTGGACGTTTCCACTCCACTGATTGTGGCGTTTTTATCTAGATGCCTCGAATTCCTCTAGTCCACAACATTCTTTCTGAGTGTTGATATTTTGGCCAGTCGGGGCTTGTTAGCTCTGCTGGGGTGCGGTGATAATGGGTGTGTTGGGAAAGGCCCTGTTTGTCAATGTGTCATGTCGTTTGGCTGATTCAGACAATATTAAGGTTCACTGCAATTTATAATTTATCAGTGATATAAACTACTATCTTTAAATGAGATGTGTACAATTTTCATTAAGGAATTTCATGCTGTTTTAAACAAACACCACCAAACACAAGGTTTGGCACTGTGGTCTGTCTTTCACCTGGCTAAATGATCACAGGGAACACACTGTACATTATTGGTACTTTCTTTTAGCCAAAGTTGCAACATTAACATTTCATGTGCTCTTTTTTCAATTCTTAAATGTAGAAAAAAATGGTTAATCAAAAGTAAGAGTCAACTGACTGTTAATCACAATGAATTATGCATAATTATGGTACAATGTTTTTATCCAGGGGTAGCAGCAGCATTCAAATACAGCATGAGTGCACTAACGTAACTCATATATTGTATCACTGTTGTGATTGGCTTGTTAGCTTGTGGCTAGTGGGTTAGCTTGGGGCTAATGTTGTTATTATTAGCTTATGGCTAGAGCATTAGGTCTGGACACTATAAAGCACAGTTTATTTTTATGATATTGACTGTGCAAATAAACTGAAAATAGAAATTATATTTCAATGTAAGGCTCATTTTCAGCCACGCCTTAATCATAAAAAATCAAATCGAGACTCCGCTGTTTCTTATTGAGCTCGTGTTATTTACATTATAAAACTGCAACCTAGATCAGCCATAATAATAAAATGGCTGATTTGCTGATTGTGTGTATGTAGACGAACTCACCTGATTCCAGTTCCAATTGTGCAGTTGTCCCTTTTTCTAAAAAGAAAGAAATTTGAGAGTCGTACTGAATCATATTTGATAACTGACAGTCACATATGTAAGTAAAACGCTGTTTTAGGCTGAACTTCTTGGAGCTTGTTCAGTTTTTAACCATCTAAAATTATATTTTCTGCTACTTCAATAACGGTCAAGGTTCTGTTTTATGCATTAATGGAGTTTGTGCTGTTTCTACTCTGCAGAGAGGGAGACTGGTGGGAGGCCCGTTCCATCAACACGGGGAAGAAGGGCTACATTCCCAGCAATTATGTGGCCCCTGCCGACTCCATCCAGGCTGAAGAGTAAGAGCCCCCTCTCTTCCTGCTCTGATCCAATCAGCAGCCCCGCCCAGCTCTAATTAAGAGTGCATGACAGCCAGTCACACAGACCAGAGCACCCAAGCGCTTATAAACACGCCACAGCACACATGACTGAGCGACAAAAGAGCTTCTCTCTCACACATACCCGTGGACTGTCTCCCTGTCTCACTCTCCCACTCTTTATCTCACTCTAACACTTATTCTCTCTCTCTCTCTCTCGTGTTCTTTTCCTTTCTTTGGTCTCTCTCCCCCATCTCTCCACTCCCACAGTAGACCCTTCCGCTGGATGCGTTAATGTACTGTCACTGTGTTGTCCTCCCACTGCAGAGGCAGAAGAGAAAGCCTGCTGGCGCAATTCACGAATGCATTAAAGTGGCTCTCTCATGGCCCGCATGCACTGGGGAAATGCAGCAATAGACCAGGCCATGGCCCATCCAGCTTCTGTTTTCTGCCAAGACCCAATAACATCACCACCACTTACCATTTAAGTAGAGCCAGGCTGTACAGATGCAGCACACTTCACCGATCCGTGAGCTCCCAAGAGTAGATTAATTCCCGTCTTCTTCCTGCAGATGGTACTTTGGGAAAATGGGGCGCAAAGATGCAGAGCGACTGCTGCTGGTGCCCGGAAACCAGCGAGGCACTTTCTTGGTCAGAGAGAGCGAGACAACGAAAGGTGAGAAACCAGACTGAAAAAATATTAACAGCTTAAACCATTCATATTTCCTGCCTTAAAACTCAAAATGTAGGAAACCTTCCATCCATAAAAATCCATACTGCCAGTTAAGTTACCTTTTCTCTGAGCAGGCAAGACACAGTACAATTACTAATCCAAAAAAAAAAGGACCAATCATTTTCTGGTCAAATACCTGTGTACGTTTCTCATCACACAGCTGTACCTGTGAAAGTAGGTGAGCTTCTCTGGAAGTTGTGTGGTGTGTACATTTCTCGTGCAATACTGGTGTTAACAGTAATAACAAAGAGTAGCAACTGTTGAGGAACTTATTTGGTTTACCTTTAATCTACCTTTTGTTTTTGTGAAGAGTCACAAAAGTCACTTCAGCAAAAAGGGTAGCCAAATTTAGCACGAGTACTCAAATAAGATATTGTTCTTTTGGCAATAGAAGTGACTACAAAATGATTCCAAATTTGTAGTTGTACCATTCTGTAATGTTCTGTATCGCAGTCTGTTGAAAAAGTGCTTTTAGGGGTGCTACAATCTGATATGAAAGATTGCTATTTGACCTCATAAAAGAACATTTCTGTGTTTTGCTATTGGCCACATTTAGCCAGATTACATTCCAATGCTTTCTTGAGGGAGTAGAAGAAAAAAACATTGTTTTCAGTTTTTCACTTACCGCAGATTTAATCAGTCAGGACATGTTTGATGTCCAAATTTATAGTTTAGCACTGGAGCTACAAGGCTAACACTGCTAACAAACACTACATATAAATAATAATCACCCAGATCTTTTCCATACGTACATCAGAAAAAAATTCTCAGCATGCATCCAGGTTTTCCTTAAGGTCATGCAGACTTGTCTGTGTGGTTGAGGTCGCAGTACAACAGTACAACTTACTGTAAAAATGAACAAGTCTTCACAGTGTAGCCAAATACTGCGATCAGATTTATTGTTTCTATTTATAAGCATTTGGCTTCATTTTTAAAACTCCAGGTCAACAGTTACTGATGAAAGGAAACAAAAATCACAGATGTAATCTGTAGGGTCTATATGCTGTATATGTGATGTGCATGCAGTCTAACTTTGACACAACTCTTGTCTAAACTGGCTCGCCGCAGCACTATCTGCATGGTACAACTATGTTCATATTTCTTGGAAAGTCATACTGTGCCCTAAACTACATCAACAAACTTGAGTGACCTGGATGTGGTTTGAGCGGAGTGAGAGAAAGTATGGGGATGTATTTACAGAAAATATTTGGGTGACTATTGACGGTAACAAGTTGGTTTAAGCGACATCGGGATCCCTCTATTGCTTGTTGATTAGTGCCTACAGCGTTGTTTGTGTGTATAAATGTAAATTCCCTCATTCCACAGGAGCCTACTCTCTCTCCATACGGGACTGGGATGACATGAAGGGAGACAATGTGAAACATTACAAAATCCGCAAGCTTGACAACGGAGGCTACTACATCACCACCAGGGCCCAGTTTGAGACGCTGCAGAAACTGGTCAAACACTACACAGGTAAATCTTTAGTGAATACTTGACACTTTAGCCATTAACTTGCTCTTAATTCATTTTCAAAGTATTGACCAGTTTGACCAGTTCTTGTTTAGAACTGATCCAGCTTCTTCTAGTTATAGATAGATACATGGATAGATTAAACAGTTTAGTTTGTAGGTCATGTTTAGCCACTCATTTTCAGTAGTAACTCTTCAAAGAAACTAATGATGAGGCCTTGAACACAGTCAGAGTCAATGCATCAGGGATTTGCATTGGAAGTAAGGGAGTTAAGTAAGTAGGGGGTTGATTTTGCTTTGGATTGTAATCAGACCAAACTCTGTCTGAAGTACACCTGAGTAGTGCACATGGTAGAGGGCTGATGGATATGGAGCGCCAGCTCTGCGACTGGCAGCAGCAGGTGTGACATGTGGAATGCTTTCCATTAACTGGGATTGGCTGATAGTCTTGGTTTAGTGGCCAAAGGAGCGTTTTTAGCAGGCTTTTTGTCACTATGGCCACTTTGATCTTACAAGCTGGTTATTTTACCAGTGTGCTGTGCTAGGGAAAACAAATCAAGAAGCAATTTAGTCCAGGCCATCACAGTTCAAATCTCAATAAAGCCAAAATTTGCTTAAACAGGAAAAGTCTTGTTTGGCATCTCCAAAGAATCACCACAGTCTCTCATTCGTTTACTCCCATCAGCTAGCTCATCAAGTGAGCTCTCTTTCCAGCAGCTAAAGCAGTGTTAGGTCAGTTATTACAGACAGCCTTCCTCAGCTCAGGTTTTTGGTTTCTGTCTCGTGTCCATGGAAGGATTTCTATCACGATTTGATAAGTTTAAATGTTCATAATTTAAATCTTATCGAAACTTGCTGACCTTAAGTGTTTTGAACATGAGTATTTCTCAGTTTGACAGCATGACTGATCCACTTTAATGACAAAGTTTTCAGTTAGTTTCCTAGCATATTATGCATTTGGAAGATTTGTGTTAAATTCATCAGTAATTGCTGCTTAGTACAGAGAGAGAGAGAGAGAAAACATACTCCCTCTCGTCTAAGCTGACATTTGATGTGTGTGTGTGTCTCTGTAGAGCATGCAGATGGACTGTGTTACAGGCTCACTACAGTGTGCCCAACGGTGAAGCCCCAGACTCAGGGCCTTGCTAAAGATGCCTGGGAAATACCCCGCGAATCACTGCGCCTAGAGCTCAAACTGGGGCAGGGCTGCTTCGGGGAAGTCTGGATGGGTAAGAGACAGACATGCATGTATGCCCATGCGCGCACACGCACCTTGTTTAGGCTGTTTTTATACTTAGCTTGTTTGCTAAGCCAAAATCATTTTTCTTTTAACAGTGTATCTTTTCATTTGGCTCAGTTTGTTGCACACTGCAGTGAAAAATGTGCACCAACTCATACACGTGGGTGTTCTTTTATTGGCAAAGGATCTGGTGGAGGTAAAAGTGCTCTGTTGCTTTGCTGTGTTAGTGCCATGAGCAAAATATTTTTACTCTAACTTTCACTGGCCTATCATTGTATAAAATCCAGGGGCCCCATTTATAACACATACTTTCATTCTAAATTTGTCCTTAAGATTCTCAGCATTTGCATATGCATATATACATATTCATAAAACACAGTGTAGTTACACTGCAGTGTACCATTTCACACCAGAACAAATCATTGTTTACGTTTCAGCCAGCTAATTATGCAGAAATTGTGATTTTAGCATCCACTCCTTTAGTTTTGCATCAGTTTGAATCAGTTCAGCGATGTCTAGCCCAACCAAAGCAAAAATATGTTTGGAGCTCCAAGTGCCAGTATGGTCGTTATTAGCAGAACAATATATTACTGCTGTCGGAACAAAAACTTGTGTCTCCATTTTTGTCGTTTTTAAGTTTTTGAGGACTTGAAAATGTGTGTTGTCCTTTGTATAAATGTGTTGTCCTGTGTATAAATTTCATGATGAATGGACCTAAAGAAACATCCCAAAATGACGGGAGAAAAATGAATGGAGAAATGTCTAGTTCCATTGACTTACATTAAAAGTAAAGTATGTTTTTTTCCTTTTCCTGTAAAGTTGTCATTTGGAGATATGAGGTTTTGTTCCGACAGCAGCGATATGTAACAATATATAGCAGAATAATAAATGTTTAAACAGGCATATTTTGCAGACAGTACAGCACTGATGTGCTGTTAAAAGAAAAAAGGCATGCTGAATTCCTCAGTTCCTCACTAGCAGTGAACTGAACCAGCAGAACGAGTTTGGTGTGAACATGGATACAGGTGCAGTGTTTACACCTGTCAAAACAAACTGAACCTAACAAAATGTTGTATGTCTGTATAAGATTGTACCAGTTACATATACTGTGCTTCAGAAAGCAGCAAATTTGACAGAAATTCACCTCTAACAGCCTCTTAAACATTAGAACTCCACATCCTGAGCTGCTGATCAGCCAGCTTGAGGCCGTGTATAATGAGCCGTTTGGTGAAGTTCAGTGTGGTGGGCTGCTGTGGAAGAGTGGGGTTTGGTAAACACTGCTTACCTCTTTCATCACTGCTCTCAAAGCCTGGCCTGCAGCGTGTCCCAGCATGCCACAGAACATTATGCAATCTGAGGAATTCCTCTCCTCTGCTCTGTGGAGGGAGTGCTGTTTGCAGGCTCAATGGTTTTTCACTAGCAGTAAAACCTCATAGAAGTGGTGACAAAGCTTCCCCACTGAAAAATACTCAGGAGTATCAACAGGATCCGGTGTAATAAAACTTTTTTTTTTACAACAGAACCAGAACCTAACAGCACTACAGCTTTTAAACTGTGGAAAGGTGTGTTATAGTGTAGTGGTTCGGTTCAGTCCTTGAGGTGTCCCAGTCATTGTGCTCCCAATGTACCTGCAGGTTTATTTTTGGTGCATTCTCTGTGATTTCTGTTGGTTTCCCCAATAGTTGCACCTGCTTAGGGGGAGGTGTACATGTACTTAATAAGCTCATCATTAAAACTAGTTTGTATGGTGCCTACAGTTGATTAGTAATGCATAAACCTGAACTTAGTGAGCAAGTATGTTATATCTAGGTTATGTTTAAGGTTATGTACAGCTGGTGCAACTGGCCCCTGGTGTTTTAGGAGTTGGAACAGAGCAAAAACATGGAGTGGCTGGTTTAGAGCTGTAATGTCTAATAGAATTGATCTGTTTCTCCTCTCCGAATGCTTTGTATTTAAAATGAAACCTGACAAGTGTGCTTAAAGAGGAATTCCACAGATTTTTCAAAATTATTGCATAATTCAGTGTAAACAGTCATTCAGAGGGGTTTAATATGAAATAGTGTAAATGCACCGTAAAGAAACTTGGCAACTTTGGTTTAATTAAAGTGGTGGTGGTAGGAACCAGGGGTAGCGACGTCTGTGACAAAAATATATTAGTTTTATTTACTATCCAAAACCACCAGTGAACCTATAAGTGTATTCTGAGCTTTCATATGTAGTGATGATAACAGTGAAATAGTTGTAGATTTGGGGAAAAAAATGGTTTCCTTTGCGTACAGTTTTGCCTCACAATACCCTGCACATAACCCTCCACCACAAATGGATGTGGCATTTAAGGCCAAAACCTTTTCTTAGAACTGTCATAAAACGATGTCAGTAATCAGGAAATGTATTCATTACCATTTCGTATAATAACTTTCTGTCAGGAAGCTTTTAGAGACATTAAACTCTTTGGATATCTGGTTCCACCACTCTGAAAGACTGTTTACATCTTAACATTGTAATTATGCAGGACATTTTGTCTTTTCTTTTGGTAAGACAATATCAATGTCCATTGTGAACTAGGCTTTGATATGTCTCTCTTATGGCCACTTGGTGGATCTCTGATCTCACTTCAGTTTGATTAGGAACCTTAGGGAAATAATGCAATGCAACATTGATTCTCAGATGTTACCAGCTGATTTAATTAGGTTTTTTTGGTATAATTTCTGAGTTATTTCAAATAACCTGAATACGTAACTATGACTGAAGGAACTATTTACACAGTAAGATTTTGTTTTTACTTCTTTATGATACTTACAGTGGTATGCGAAAGTTTGAACATCCCTGGTCAAGTTACATGTTTTGTTGACTTTCTAGGTGAAAATAAGTTGACACATTCTCTACAGCAGCAGTCACCAACCCTGGTCCTGGAGATCTACCGGTTTGGAGACTGCAGTTCAAACCACAGCCTGCCACACCTGCCCTAGATAGTTAACTTCTTCAGAAATCCCTTATTGGCTGGATCAGATGCTTTAGTTTAGCTACAGGGAGGGGGAAACATGTTAGATGCAGGTTGGAACTCAACACTGCAGGAAAGTAATTCTCTAGGAGGAGGGTTGGTGACTTCTGCTCTACAGGGAACCAACTTAAATATGGCATTTTCTACGGTTTTTGCTGCTTAACATATTTGGGGGAGGGGAAGTGAAACATAAAATGTGCTAACTTTTGCACAGGCCACATTTGATGTTTGTGGTTTTTTTTTGTTCTTGTGGGGTTTTTTTGTTTTTGTTTTTTTTTTTTTTTTTTTTTTATTAAATTCAGCAAATAAACCGTGACTGTGCATTAAAATGTTTGGAAGTGTGCTGTGAAATTGTGTAGTTTTACTTTGAAAATCAGCAAAACATGTAATTCAACCAGCAGCACCCAAACTTTTGCATACAACTGTATTTTTAACCTTCTTGTTGCATATGTATTTAGTTAAAACTTGCATTTATGTATACTTTGTCTAATCTCTTGCTCTCTCTTTTGGCTAGGCACTTGGAATGGTACTACTAAGGTGGCAATTAAGACGCTGAAGCCTGGCACCATGTCTCCTGAGGCTTTCCTACAGGAGGCTCAGATCATGAAGAAGCTCAGACACGACAAACTGGTGCCTCTCTATGCTGTGGTATCTGAGGAACCCATCTACATTGTCACAGAGTACATGGGCAAAGGTAACACACATATATGCTGTCTGCTGGGCATTAAAGAGAAGAGAATTTTTGAGAGTCATGTATGTTTAGCTGTTGGCTTTAGCAGTGATTTGTGAAAAAGAAGTCTTGTTATACATCATCAGTGTTATATTATGTGTGCTCTTTGACCTATGGGTAGGTGTATGTGTGTGTCGCTAGCCGTGGGGACGCTGAATTTAAGTCAGTGATGCAGCACAAGCTCACATGACCTGGTAACAGTGTTTTACCTCACAATTTTTTTTTTTTTTTTCTCCTAAATTGCTCAGCCATTAAAGCACAGTTAGCCTCAGACACTACACCCACAGTGGTACAGACCTGATATAGGCCTGACATCTGGTAATTACTAATCTGGCTACAACGATCAGGTAGGGCTGGGCGATAAAACGTTAACGATAAGTATCGCGATACAACTTTTCCTCGATAGAGCGATAAGACAGATTCGATAAATTTTTGATATAATACACCACTCTCACACTTCCACGTTTTAGCGAAAGCCCTGGTGGCGTTTTCTACTGCAAGGAAAGCGACACTACTCAGCTGTCGCCAGGAGAGGGCGCACTTCCGAGTTTTTCGACTTGATTAGAGAGGGAGGGGGCCACGAGTGAGGGTCGCCAAATATACTTTAGCAACATCTGAAACGTGGAGTTAGATATTTCCTGTCTGAGTGGAGTGACCGGCGATCTGTTCTCCTGTGACCGAGTCTGAGTGACGAGATAAGTGACGTAGCTTAACTGTATTGCCCTACGGTGAACTCACCTCTTTCCGTGCATCCTAACAACTTTAGCGGTGTTAAATCACGTCTGCAGCGCCGTGTTACAGCGCCAAACCGTCATATTTTAGTATTAGTGCATTCTCGAGCGACGAAAGTGAAAGAAAGAAGTGGGTTAATGTTCTAAAGTAAACTGAGGAAGCTGTGCGGCATTGGAGAGCAGGAGAGCGCTGTCTTTCCAGGCTAGCTGTTTTTATCAGCTGGCTAATTGAAGCAGCGCTCCGGCACAACACGGTGAATTGATGATACGGTAGATCAAACAAGACACAAAATCATCGCTTTCAGTTTAAACATGCCTAAAAGGAGGACTCTGTGACTGGTGTGAGAGATTCACACTGCAGATAATGCTTTTACACAGCGAACGTCAGATATACAGATATACCCCTTAAACTACTACGATAGCATAGAGAAACCCAGTCGTCGCTAGCTGGTGTCTGAATACTGTGATCTGCTCTGACATGGATGTGGTAGGAGTGACAGCAGTGACCTACCGAACCGAGTTGATGTTGTTGAGAAACTAGTTTAGCACTGTTTAGCATTTGTAACGGGGTAGCCAAGTGCTCGTCACCAGACAGCTAAAAATAATGTTTTCTTTCTTAAATTATGACTATTACAAAAATTGCAGCTGTGCTTTTCCAGCTGATAAAAACAGCTCAGAAACTTTCTCCCACTGTCCCAAGACAGATTTGTGAAATGTTCCACTGTTTGCCGGGTGTTTGTCATGATCGGACCATAAGTGATAGTTTAAAACCACAATTAACCACCCAGGAGCAAAATCAGCCTTCAAACGTGAAAGAAATAATGTTTTGACATTCTGATCGGCATTCTGATCGGCTATTCACATGTCTGAGTGATCACATTTTCTTGCCCCACTTTTAATCTGTCCAATGGGATCAAAATGTTTGTAAATAGTTGCCTGTTCTCTGAGACTTTTGAAGCAAAATGTAGTAGTTGGATTTGAAAAAAATTTCAATTCCATTGCAGCACATCTTTAAAAGTTATTCTGCAGTATCCTTTGAAGCATTTGTAGGCTAATAAGTGAGATATCCTCAGGTGTTTGACCTCACATACCACTTTCTTCGCTGGTGTGTTCTTCTATAACCCTGTTTTAAAAATAGCCTGCACGTTACATAAAACCAGTAGTCTGTGGCTATTCTGCATGTCAGTCAAACAGCCTTTTCCTGTCAAAGTAGGTGGTTATTGGCTGCATTCACTAACACAACACACTGGCAGAAGTCTGGCTTGTAAGACTACAGCACAGTCAACTGAACTTCTTTCTCATTGCCTTATCTTTTTGTCTTCCAGGGAGTTTGCTGGACTTCCTGAAGGAAGGTGATGGCAAATACCTGAAGCTTCCTCAGCTGGTGGACATGGCAGCACAGGTAAGAGTGGAACTCTGTCTGTACATGGTTTCCTCAGTCTGTTCTCAGTTAGTCAGCCTGTTACGGTATACATGAAGCCAGCTGTTTTCTGCTCCTCCTGTCAACAGTCTGCAGACCAATTTAGAGCAGAGGAATGTGTGGCAGAAGCTGGGAGAGCAGTATGTCTCTGAGCGCCTGGCTCTCACTTTCTTCCCCCATCTGGCTGTCATAGCTCTTTTAATATCTGATCTGACACCTCGCTACTCGCAAGTTTCTCACAGGAACTCTCATCCTCGTTTTCCACCTAATGCTTAGAACACTTAACCTCTGCTCCTCAGAGACCACTTCACTGTAATGTGTCTGCTCACTTTTTCTCTCTGCGCTTAAGCCAGCTTCCTCCATCCAATCTCTCTTGCACTCCAGCTCTTGCTCATGCTGTCACCACCTTAGTGTCTTTACTTAGCCTTTCAGTTCTCTCTAGTCTCAGCCACAGAGAGGTCGCTTCATGTAAATGTGATACTTCCACGAGTTTAAGCCACTGGTGGATACGCTATAAAGTGGTGATTTGATTTTCACCCTTCAAAAGCTTTGAAAAACCACACTACTTTAAAACAACTGGATATCTCACATTTTCCATAGAGGCTTTTGTAGTTTAGCTGACAAATTGGGAATCACAAAATTCCCCAACTTATTAAATTAAGTAAGTAATTATATATATTTACATACTGTAAATATATATAAATAAGTTAATATATTAAAAAATATATAGAGAGATAAAAGTTAATTGTAGAACTTTTTCTTAGGGTCTACAGGAATTGGGGGAAAAAAAAATCTTGGTCCGCACCGAAAATCTTTGCCCACACAACACAGAAATGACTTGAACACAAACAACTAAAATTGCTTACCTAAGCCTTCCAGCCCAATAGAGAGTGATAATACCTCATAAAATTTGATGTAAAATGCCTCACCATGAACATTATGAGCATTTGTATTGCACAAAATATAGATCACAAACCTGAAGCAGAGTTTTTCTAACATGACGGCTGTGTTTTACAGTAGGCTTGGTTGACTTAACACAGGCTGTCAGACCTCCATAATTCAATATCTTATGTAGATTCAAAGTCTGATTTCTACCAGTAAATAGAAGCTTAAAGTGGGGACAAAAACTCTGCTGATTGCTGTCATGCTGGGTTATTCATGTTGCCTCTTTGAAATGCTATGTTTAGAGTCATTAAGACATTAATATTTTCAATTGAGTTGACATCTCATTTGAAGAACTGAGCGCAGTAGATTCTGACATCAGCATAACCGCAGTGTAACGAAAAAGTAAAGCCAAGTTCAGTTATAAACTTCCAGCTTCCAAACTGACTAGCACCAGAAACTGCTGTATTCCAGGTAGGGCTCTACATGCATAATAAATTAACAGCTACAACCCTGTAAAAATGAACTATGTGATCATTGAAAATTGAAGTAAAAAAAGACAGTGAAATGCAATTTTTGTATGGACAGGAGGCCAAAACGCAGTGAAAACCGTTTTCAGAAATGTCCTGATACGTGTAATCGACCAAGAGTTACTGATGAATGAATGAGTCATAGGGACAGCCTTACATGTTGGATATCCTGCGACTGGCCTGAAACTAGAACATTGACTGTAATCGGGGTGGAACTCATATAATGTAACCCCAGCTTAAGATTTCACTTGTTCACCCTAATATAGTCAGTAGCAGAGATGTTGAAGGTGCTCCCCAGAATGGCTTGGCTGCTTTGGGATCTGATAATTGTCCTAACGAAGGCTATTTGTGCACTCTCCTTAGTTAAACTGGTAATACATGAGTAATGCCCTCGGCTGAAACTTCTCATTTGCTTTTCTTAATTGAACTCATGGATGCTGCATTGCCATGCTTTACTGGTCTATAAAGTTATTGTTGTCATGTTGCTGTACATCCAGTTTACATTATATAATTAATCTCCTATTTAAGAGCTGAAGTGTGGATTCACTGCAGAATCTGTACTTTCAACAGAATTTCTCCATATGCTCCGTATTAAAAATAATTAATATAAAGTTATAACATTCTTTTGTTATTGCCTCTATTTTCTGAATCTTTTTTTATTTTAAAAGTTGTGCACTGTAGGCTCAGCTTAGGGCGTTGAGCAAGACCACGGACCTCCAGTCCCTAGTTCTAGTGAACCTTGCTGGAGCATTGTTTTAAGCCTGGTTTGATTTTTCTCCTGCAGATTGCTGATGGTATGGCCTTCATCGAGAGAATGAACTACATCCATAGAGACCTGCGGGCGGCTAACATCCTGGTTGCGGATAATCTAGTCTGCAAGATCGCTGACTTTGGCCTGGCCAGGCTAATCGAAGATAACGAGTACACTGCAAGACAAGGTTTGTGCATTGTTGTGTCTACTCTTTATGTATATTTGTATGCGTGTCTTTTTTTTAGCACTCGCTCTTCTGTTTTGCTGTGTCTTAAGGCCATTACACACATAATGTGATGCAAATAAATGACACAAAGTGTGAACTATTCAGAAACGATAATTATAGTAGTAATAATAATAATAATAATAATAATAATGCCTCTTGTTTATAATGCACATTTCATTTAGGAGAAAATCTCAAAGTGCTACAAAGGTTAATAATAATAATAATAATAATAATAATAATAAAAACAGTAGACCACCAAACAATTAAGAATAGGCCTTTCTAAATACAGTTTTAAAAGAAGTCACGTGTCTGCGGAACCTACAGACAGTTGGGAAGGGCACTCCAAAGGCGAGGGGCATGATTACTCATCGTTTGCAGGTTTGATCTGTGAGGTTGGAGAAGGTGATTAGTGTTGGACCTGAGGTTGCGCCTTGAATTTCATGGTATAAGAAAGATAATCTGGTGTGTTTACATGGACACATTAAAATGTTAGGAGGAGAATTGTATAGTCAATTCTGAATGAGACAGGAAACCAGTGCAGAGGATGTAACATTGGTGTGTTCCTATTTCCAAGTAATAGATGCAACATAATTTTTAATTAAACTTCACTTTTAATTATAAATCACTGTGTTTGCACTGCGAAATATGAACAAACAGGCAGAACGTGTGCAAGTGACATTCTGATCCCTTGCTCCTGACTAAGAAAAACACTAACAGTGCTGTTGGGTAAGTCTATTTTCCATTTTGGAAAAGCAAGAGCACCATGAAGAACAACATCTTCATTCAGGAGCTGAATCTTTGAGGGCTTCGGCATATAGCTTGGATGCCCAGTTTGAGCTGCTTTTGGAGCTGCGGCTTCACATGGTGAAGCAGAGGACAAACTTATCCTTTTGACTTTGGTCAAAAAGTTCTAGTTCCTGGGTTGTTGGCATGTCCATGCTGCAGACATCAGATCGATGATTTGAGTTCATGTTGCCTGTGAAAGTTTGCAGAAATCGATCAAACGGGTAATGTCAGAAAACTGTGCTTGGAGTGCAAGATATTATTTCAGCATGATTGTTTTGTTCTCAATAAATTATTCAAAGTGCAGCTATATTGCGGCATTTTGTGATCTACAATATATCAAAAGCCACTTGAAGTTTAAGATTGGCCATTTTCTATTGTTGGATCACATCAATGCCTTGATTTATCAAACCACCCATTGAAGTGCCTGGAGCATGTAATATTCAGGATTCTCACAACATACAATGAAATCATTAATATTATTATCATATCATAATTGTGATAATTATTGTTGTTTTTGTTGTTTTTATTAGAAGGCTTAATTGCATTTTATAGCCTTTTGCTTTATCAGTATTTCAGAAGCCAGTAGGCTGTTGCAGGAGTGATTAACACAGATTATAATGTGCAGCACTGGTATACTTAGATTCTGGCCTTTTTACACCGGCATACAATTGTCTAAGAAGACAACACTTTTCTAAGTCGCTCTGGATGAGAGTGTCTGCCAAATAGTGTAAATGTAGAACAGCTTCCTAATTTAAGAAGATTCTGGTTTACTGGAGGTCAGATTTGTGTGTGCAAATCCTTATATAGTCATTGATTTTCTGAGAAATTGGGGCCAAACGCCCCCTGCTGGAAGCACAAGCAGACCGATTACAGTTTTGACTGGCTGACGTCAGTTTGTTTGCCCTCTGGCTCTAGCCCTGGACTAAGCCTGTTCAATGACTGCTATCTTAAGGACAGCCATTGGCCCATGTGCGTGTCAGACATTACAATAAGAACACTGTTCTCACACCAGCTTTTTCCCCATCATACCCAAAATGAATATGATTATGTGGACTGCGAAATGGAGCCAGACGGATCTGAGACCTATGATCCACCTGGGTCTAGAACTACCTGTTGCAGGCGGGATCAGGTGAGCTGCCTGATTACAGTGCAGCTGATTGCTGAATTCCAGACTGACGGTAAACAGTAATTACAGAGGGGTTTCTTTTGGAGCGCTGAAGTCGGAAAGACTGTAGATTGAGAATGTGGTTGGAAGTGTCTTAAGGTTGTTTTCTGTTTATTTAATCGAATCAGATATTAAACATTCAGAAACTAAAAACATATACTTTATATTCGCCTTTGACACTGGAGAATGGATGAGTGAAGTTTTATTACGTTCTGAAACAGAATCAGGCTTGGATGTTTTTATAGCCCGCAGCATGGTGCCTCACGCTGCTTGTTGACAGACACAGCCTCCAGCACAATCCCTTCTGACAGCTAAAGAACTCTGTCTCACTGTTTTCTCCAGGAGCCAAGTTCCCCATCAAGTGGACGGCGCCTGAGGCTGCCCTGTACGGCCGCTTCACCATCAAATCTGACGTCTGGTCCTTCGGTATCCTGCTGACCGAGCTGGTCACCAAGGGCAGAGTACCGTACCCAGGTGAGCCTCACACAAACTATCTACCTCACTGGGCTCATCTTTTCATTTACTGCACCAAACTGGGTTCCTGACTCAGAGCTCAAGGGTAGATTACTGTTGAAAAGTATGTAATGTAAAATATGCCATAACTTCTGCATAGACAACGTTTTGTTTTATTTTTTTCCCAATATGTTAAATTTAGCAAAAAACAATTGTAACTGTACAATAAAATGTGCAGAAGTGTGCCATTTGTGGAGAATGTGTACTTAATTTCACTTTTAAAAAATTATGAATTATGAATTTTTTTTATTGCCAATTCATTAGCTTTTTTTTTTTCTTTAAATACCTGTCCTGAAGCTCACACTCTGTATGCTAAGCGAACACACAAATCACTCTAGCACCAGTACTGTGTTAGCCAAAATTACAATATGAGCATTATCATTTGCTCTTTAATGGGCCTTAAATTGAATTAAATCGTAGAAGTTATTATTTATTTGGCACGTGGTTCCAAACTTCTGAACAGTAGTGAATATGATATCATGCAGGCTGGTCAGGAGCTTTTAGAGCGCATGCTGTACAGAGCAGCTGCTACTGTAATGTGGCTCAATGCATTTAATTAACACCTTTACTACCGGTCAGCTTATCACAGTCTATCTGCTGACCCTTTGTGAAGGGCATAGTTTATGTACATAGTACAGTGAGCTATGCTGTCCTGTGCGCCCCCTGCTGGAACCGCCAGCCACTGCTGCGTGTGTAATGACTGATCAGAGGCAGCCATCTGGCTGAGGCCTGTACACTGACTGAGCACCAGTTCTTGTTTACTGCCATCTGTGCTGACCAGCCTGCAGCCCGCACACTGCCCAGCAGCTTCCACAGCCACAGCAGACCACTAGCTGGGTTGCTGAGGTTACCCCATCTCTCTCTCTCTCTCTCTCTCTCTCTCTCTCTCTCCTCTCTCCTCTTTCCTCTCTCTCCCTCTCCCCCTCTCCCTTTCCCTTTCCCTCTCTTTTTCTGCCTCTCTCTCGCTCTTTCTCTATTCTCTCAGTAGTGCATCATTAGAGTTGCTGTATAATTGATGAGCTGAATTGTTGGTGTAGTAGTGTAATAGCTGCTCATCTACGTTTGAACAGTTTAACCATTCGTGTTCGGTTGGCACTCAGTGCTTTTGAACGTTCAGACTGTTCAGGAGCGCTGAAGGACAGCTGAGTGGAGTCTTGAGGCTGTTGAGGGGAGTAATGGAAAAGGTTCATCATTCACTCTCAACCAGAAGCACTCATTAGGTGGTGTTGAACAAGCATTTAAACAGAGTGTATGAAACAGGCCATTCTTTCCTCATAAGCAGCTCTGTTTTATCCGGAGCAGTTTATCGAGCATTCGCTTATTGCGAGTTATGTAAGAGTTATTGATTTAAATGAAAGTGGAGCTGATATGAGCCTCTTAAGTGCCGGTGGTTGTGTCAGGGCTGTGATTAGAGGCTCATATGTAGGGAACTGACAGATGAAAGGTGGCTCAGGATTTTTTTGCTTGGTCCTTTACAATCCAGTCTCTCTTTGACCTCCACAATGACTGTGCTGTGAATGCACTACAGTGTTGTCCCTTTTGTCTGAATTTGTAAACATGGTTTGCCTGAAAGGTTCTAGATTTCCTAATGTTGCTTTGCTTTGCTACACTAAAGTGTCAAAATATGGAAGCAAAAAAGTGTCATTTTAATGTTTTATTGTTCGCTCCTAGAAGTTTCATTTTGCTGGATCACTACTTGTGTTGGTGTCTTTTAGTCTCAGTCCTCGTCCTATAGCTTGAGCAGCGTTTCACTATTTTCACTTTACTTTCACTACTATTACGTTATGGTACAAATAAAAAATGTAGTTAATATTTTAATTTAAATAACGTATGGAACCCAGACCTTTATTGGATTTACTGTAATCAGGTAACACTCCTTTTGGTGCTGTGTAGTGCTCTCGGGGCTGAATCTTTAGCACTGGCTGTAAAACAGTCACTACGTGAGCTTAGTTACATTGTCCTTAGCCAGTAGCTTAAATTAGGTGATAGTGCTAAAGGCTAAGGCGGGAATACTGGTGACAGACCACTACAATCATTCAGAAGGCTACATTAGATTATTAAAGACAAAATGAATTAATGCTAAAAAGCTGGACGCACAAGGATGAGGTTGGGCATGTCACAATTATTATCTGTCACCTGATGGCATTATTTGAGCTGAGCTTTTCCACAGTTTTGAGGTTTTCCATTCACATGTTTATGTTGCAACAAACAATGTGAAAATTGGCCATTTTATTTCACTGAGTTGAGATGAAATATTTGTCAGCCATAAACTCCTGTTTTCTATATTTCATTTGAAATGTGCAATTTCATGATGTAGTGAATGTTTTCATAAATATCTTTATCTATGTAAATTTGTATGCAAATTTTTGTAATACCAGAGATTTACACTCTTGGTTTCTGCGCGTTTTTACAGGAATGGTGAACAGAGAGGTCCTGGAGCAGGTGGAGAGGGGCTACAGGATGCCGTGTCCTCAGGGCTGTCCCGAATCCCTGCATGACATGATGATCAACTGCTGGAAGAAAGAGCCGGACGAGCGGCCCACCTTCGAGTACATCCAGTCCTTCCTGGAGGACTACTTCACCGCCACTGAGCCGCAGTACCAGCCTGGAGACAACCTGTAGAGACCCGCACCCTCTACAGACCACGCTGGGTCACAACCACCACGGCCACGTCCCAAACCAGCGTGCCACCACCTCCCCTACACCCTCCCTACACACTTCTTCTCGAAGGGACTGTTGTTTTTTTTTTTGTTTTGTTTTAGTTAATATGCTTTTGCTGTTCACCAGTGTGTGGAAAGCACCATCAGAACCTCTGACTTCAGTACCCTTGAGGACAAGTGTGTAGTGAAACTCATCAGGGAAGTGTTGTGTGTCTGATTGGAAGGGGACCGGGCCATGCCCTCTCTCGCTCTCTTTCTTTCTCTCCACACTTTGAGAAGTGTGAGCTCTACAGAGAGAGGGAGCTGCAGAGAAAAGCAATGAGCTTAGTGCTGATGGCTGGTTCACAGTTGCACAAGTCTGTTTTTTTTTTTGTTGTTTTTTTCTTTTCCTTTCACGCTCCTTTTTCTTTTTTTTCCATTTGATCCTCCATCCTCTTTCTTATAAACCTTCCCCCCTTCTTTTCTTCCTTTCTTCCCAGACACCAAGTCCTTTGACTGTTTTGAAATCAAGAACTGAGTGTCTTTTGTTTTACAATGTTATTGTTGATTTTCACATTTCAGTTTCTCCTTTTTTCAGTAGTTTCAGTAGTTTGTTTAAAAAGTGACCAATAACTGTGGTTGAAAATTGACAGCATTGCCTAAAACTGTCAGTTGTGCTGTCACTGAGAGACGAAGAGAGGAAGAGAGAGAGTGGATATTTGCTGTTGTGAATGTATGAGTGAAGTGTGCGCAGTGAGAGAATGAGATGGAGGAGAAAAGAGTTTTGTAAGTTAAACATGTGGGGAAAGAGACATGGATAAGATTTATGTCAATGTCAGTAATCAAAGTCATGATGTAATGATTTCTTTGGTTTTCTTTTAATCTGTTAAAGAAATTATGACTTGACACATCATGGGTGATTATTCATTCGTGTGAGCTCCATCTAGTGCTAGCCCGAGTGTTTGTATAGTGCTCTGAAGATGCACTAAGACAACGATGCCATTGTTGTTTCAGCCCATTCTGCCAATTCGGGGGAAGCCTATTTATAATCTCTGCACATGATTTGCTTTCCAAAATTGTTCAACAAAGAGCCTGCATTCTTCAGAGCCTCAACCTCAAGGGATTTGAGATGCTACAGCTTTTTAAAGCTTAAACCATTATATCACTTATGTCCACATTTCAAATAATGGAGATTAAGCCTAGGGCAGCCAGTCTGGATTATCCAGTGGAAATCAGTCTTCAACTAGGCTTAGTTTGTGTTGGGTCCAACACTAAATGTACTAGCTTTATCATGCGTACATATCAGCTCTGATCTGTTGTGTTGCTCACCCAAACATATGAAATGTTAGCTGTTCAAGGAGAAATACTGTCCCTACATTTCACATTAGAAAGGAACCACTGAGATGTTTGTAAACAACCAAAATACTCTGCTTTGTCACTTTCCCAACATCTTGAAGCTACAGCATGTCTCTGGAACTCTGTCGCCCTCTGTGGTTTGCAGTTGGCATAACCAGAGTTTCTGTTGGACCCCCTTTAGTCTTGCGCACTGCAGATGGGCTTACTTACCGAAGCTTTGGCCGAACAGCTGATCCCAAGCCTACAGTTCCAAAATATGCCTCACAGGAGCAAAAGAGCTTTAAAATGTTTATTGTTCATCATTCACATCATCCTTTGATGTCCTCCGTTCACACTGTAAATTAAATGGATTTGAATGGATATAAATTTACAAACAGTGATTTTAGTAGATGTTTAAAACAGACAAGATAATAGTAGTATATTAACAGTCCATAACAGTCCTTACCTCAATAACAGGTTTTATACAGTGCGCTACAAGTGCTGTGTGTGGTCGTAAGATGTCAGCAGTTGTATAGTTGGTCCAAGTCGAGTCCGAATGCACTTGATGTGAGTGGAACACTAACGTCGTGTGAAAGTAAAGCCGCAGTTGAGCTCATTCTAGTTTGTTCAAATCCTCCTTTGGTGTGTAGAGAAGCCTCGGCTTTTGTCCTCATCTATTGTGATTCTTTTGTCCTGGGGTCGAGTTTTCCTCTTTGTTATGAGAATGAACACCAAGCAATCCCTTTTTCACACCACCGCCTTCCCCCCTCTTTGTTTTTTGCAGAAAGCCGTGGGGTATTTAAAAGGGCTATGGACAAGTTTGTGATAAATCTTTTTTTTTTTTTTCGTGGGGATTTTTAAAGAAGAGAAGCGGGACGGGGTGCAGGGCAGGGTCTCAGCTGCAGGGCTGGAACGCAGTGAGTGTGGAGGAGGTGTGTGTACCGACGTGTTGGCAACAAATTACTAATCTGAAGAATTTGTACAGTAAAAAAATAAAGTTTTACGTAATGCTTTTCACCTGCTTGTAGCTTTGTTTGTGTGATTGATGAAATGCAGGCCGTTTTTCACACTACCCCCCAACACCCCCCCACCCCAAAAAGTGCTGTGTTCAAGATGCTAATCTATTAATCAATCATTTGTTCTTCACATCATTATTATTATTATTATTATTATTATTATTATTATTATAGGACAGTAATAGATTAACTCCTTTTACTCGAATGAAGGCCAGACTGGCTGTTAAATTCTATGAACTCACTGAATCTGCACATAAACTCATCGTCCTCTTTATTAGAAACCTCTTTTTCCACTCACCACATTTTGAGCTCCACCTACCTTATAGCTTCGCTAAGTAGGTGTGCAGTTACAGACCGTAACCTGTAATCTGTTGATCAGCCTCTACCCTATTCACCATTGGTCAGTTTCTGACGCCTGTTGATCAGATATTATTTGGGTGGTTGTAGTGGTTGTAGACAGGGTTGTGTGTGGAGCCTGAGACCAATAACTAAGATAAAATATTGCATAAATGAATCTTTTTTCCATGTATGTGATTACCATGTGGTTAAACAAAGGCAGTCTAGTATGTGTTTAGTCCAAAAATATATACAACAGAAAATACTGAACTCAATTATAGGCTATATGAACAGAACATCACCAATTACGCTAATAAATACTCTGAACGGCACTTGGAAAGAATAAAAATATGCAATAAATAATGGACAAGCTTGTCCAGAAGAAGAGTGCCAATGTGCCAGTTTCCAACCAGAGAACCAGTTGGACATTGTTACATGTTGTCCGTGCATTATAAATGAATGTTATAAGATCGGCCAGATGGTAATTCTGTGGTAATTATATTACAGTCAGGAAAAATACAGGTTATAGGGTAAGGCTCTGTACTGCTGGTGTATGATCGTTCCTAATTGAATCTGGATAACTAATACTGTTACCGTTGGTGCTGGTATGAGTGTATCAACAGCACTGCTCAAGTTTTTACACCTCAGTGTCACTGCTGGGTTGAAAGTGGTCCACTATCCAAAATAACCTAATAAAAGTGGCTCTGTGGTCAGAAACTGACCACTGATGAGGGGTACTAGGGAAAAACTGCATCGACAGATGGGCTACAGTCACTACAGCAGTTTCCATTGGTGTTGAAATCTCAAAAACCTGGCTTTAGCTGACTATCGCTTTGCTGAATGTAGTCTTTGTATAATGTGCTGCTGTTCATGCTGTGAGAGAGGTATGTTTCATTTTAAGGCTGATGGGGATGGTGGGGGGAGGTGCACTGATAAAGCAGAGTCTTAAAAACCTATTCAGTATTTCTCAGATATTGAGCAGGTTTGGGTTTGGTTTGGAAAGTGCAGAATGTGTGGATGAGATTCAAAGTAAACATTACATTTGATTATAGAAGGATAAATTTCGTGTTTCCCCCCAAGAGGAACATACCGGCATAGATAACCTACTGATAAAAGGAGACTATAGAGTTTGAAATCAGACTTTATTTTGGCGTGCTAGAATGGTCTAAAGCTGCATAATAGTGTGCTTGTCCTACCTTTAAAATTAGAGGAGAAGAAAAGGAGTTTGAGGACAGTTATTGAAGTGTATATATAAACTGGCATGACCTGGAACCAGCCTATGCCTACTGTAGCAGCTCTAACATGCAAGTCCTTCATTAAACCTGAGAATGTTACTGTAAAATCAGGGGATTAAGAGAGAAATTATAAGCAGCAACTGTGTGAAAATGTGTAGAAAAAAACACTTTAGAAAAGATTCGAAAACAAAGTGTGGATGCAAAAATGTGGGAATATATAAGTACAAGCAGCATAATCAGCTGAGCAGTTCTCAGTTAAAAATCTCTTTATTTGAGAAGATTATCATGTCAACATCACAGCAGGACACTGTATAGGCAGGTGATTAGAAGGTGAGCAGAATTAATTTATTTGAGCGCTAATATATTTAACTATGTTAAGTTCTAAAATAAACAGAATGATTTACATAAGACTGCATTCATCTTTTAAGTGTAAATGTTTTTACTATGAGTATTGTATCTAGTCAAATATGTTCTTTTAACATGTACACCACAGGTGAACCGTTGCTCACTCACAGACAAAACTACATATTTCTCCTCCGGGCAGCCTTAAGCGTCTTCCTGCCTGAAATCAGAAACAGGACATGTGACTGTGTCAAAACCTATTACGAGGAAGATCTGCCTAGAGTATCCAACCTGCACTATGTAAGTTTTTGAACTTCTATTGGCCACAGGCTGATCTCTAAAGCACTGTAGCACCGTGATTAATACCAAGATTACAAAACAGGAAATCTGGACATCACTTCAATCACTTAGAATAACAGTGAACATGAGTATGCCTCTCATGGAGATTTTCTACAAGCCAAAAGCATGGAAGCACCACTAACTGTGGAAAAGTGAACAATCATTATATTTTTCAAGAGATAATATCTTATCAAAGCTACTTTTGTTAAAGCTACACTATGTAGGTGTTGGGGAATTGGAGACCTCTATTGTGGAAATGAATGATCTACTATTCTCATCATATCTTCATCAGGATCATGTTAAATTTGCATTTCTCCTGAAAAAAATATTATTTCTGGCTTGACAGAGTGACTCACAGCAGCACATGGACACTGTATTTTAGCATTGTTTTTCTCCTGACTAGCAGTAATGCTAATCTTCCATAGTGCAGCTTTAAGCAAAAGGTCAGTAAACATATCGGGTTCATAGTTGGCAAATTGACTTAACTGTGAAATATATTTAAAACTGTTGCATTACAGACTTAATGCTGGCCTCAGTCTTACCTGGCCCTCTGCTTATATAGGCCCAGAGCCTCGTGGGCCACATACTGGATGAAGGCGGGGTCCTGCAGCTGCAGGCCGGCAGGCACGGTGAGTGTGAGAGTGGGAGCGTTCAGGATGTTCACCTCCACCTTAGTGTCTGCTGCTGGGGCGTTAGCTTCCTCTTCGGCCACCACCTGGAAAATAAGCATGGTTAAAACGATAGTTTCTCAAAAAAACTGCATACCTTAATCACACACTTGTCTCACATTGTACATTTATTAGATTAGTGATGTACTAGTGTGGATTTTTATAGATAACAGTACGTCATACAAAGTAAGGAAGCACAAAGTTTATCTGAGATTACTTCAGGCAGTCTGAGACAAGTGAGTGATCATTTAGGCATGTAGTTTGCTCAGTGCTAATACATCTCAGTAAGGGGAAAATGGCTACCACTTCACCGTTTCCGTATTTGATTTAATCATAGGTTTACATTACTTTCAGCTTCCTCCTCTCCTCCTCACCATGGCGATGCTGAAGATGTTTTCAGGTGTGGTGTTACCGTGGACCAGCTCTGTCACCCAGCCGAACTCAGAGGCCATGTTGTTCAGCCAGTTCACCGTGTCCTCGGTGTGGCGCTGCACGATGCCTAACACCTCCTCATACTGCTGCTTAGATAACTCCAGCAGCTCCGACACCTCGTCCAGCTCAACGTGCAGCTCCCGCACACTCGGGCACTCTGACAAACACATACAGAATAATCAGCAATTTCTTAGCATGACACTAAGACTTTGCCCAAAATATATAGCGAATATATATAGTGAATACTTTCTATTTACTGTACATCACACTGTTTTTGGCGTCTGCACTCATATTTGGAATAATGCACTGCAATACACTGTATGTCCAAACGTTTCTTCTGAAATCAAAGACATTAACAGCGAGTTTGTCCCCTTTAGCTGCAGTAACAGCCTCTACTCTTCTGGGAAGCTTTACAGTAGCTGTTGGAATATTGCTGTAAGGATTTGATTGCATTGTGCTACTAGAGCATTAGTGAGGTCAGCTACTGATGTTGGATGATTTAGTTCTGATTTGCAACCTCCACTCCAGCTTTTCCCTGAAGTACTGGATGGAGCGCCATCACTCTAGAGAACGCAGTTCTACTGCTCCACAGCCTAATACTGCGGGTCTTTATAACCCTCTAGCCGACACTTGGCATTGGGCCTGGTGACCTTAGATGAGGATCCTCGCTTTCGTCTTCTGATGCATGTCACTGGAATTGAGCTGCACTCTCCATTTTCTTTCTTCATTTCATGGTTTCTTTAATCCAAAAATGAGGGCACCTCTGAGCTCTTTTAGATAACCATATGGCAAAGTCCTCTTCTAGAGAGAATGGATGTTCCTATTTGGAGATATGAAGAAAGCTGCAGCTGTGCCCTCCATTTATCTCTGCACAGCTGTCTTTGTGAAGAGGTGTGGATTGTTTTCACAGCAGGAGGTTCTCATCCCTCCCCTTTCATCCTAGTTAACCTGAGAACAGCTATGGGGAAAATTATTGAATATTTAATTTGTTTATATTCATTCAAAATATCAATCAAAAAATGTTAATTTCTATTTTGCTGACAGGATGGACACTAGTGGCCTGCATACAGAGGCTACACAGCTGAACTCACTAATTAGGAGGCGTGTCTGGATACTTTGACGTATTGTGTAGGTAATGACACTGAATATATAGTTTTTTCCTATGTCTCAAATAATTTTCATATTATACTGAAATATTTTGCAAGTTGAAATATCATTATAGAAAGTCTGATGCTATTTCATGCTGTAAAAAAAGTGATACGCATTGAGTACTTTGTGGGTGTTCTCTCTTTTCACGAAATCACTTTGATTTGAGTGTAGTTGTATTTTTTCCTTAAGAGGTCAAATATTTTAAAATATACACAGATGTGTACTTGTGTGCCTTCGATTACCAGCGAGCAGGGTTCCCTGGCAGGCTTCACATTTGCTCTGGAGCTGCCAACACTCTGCCGACTGTCTGCGGAGATCTCTGCACAGCTTCCTCTTGTGGAAGAATCCAGAAAACAGCTGCTTCTCTGAAACACAGAGACAGACCACTTAGCAAGAATGTATCTTCAACATAGCTTCAGCATGTCCTCACAGTATTTTACACTAGTCAGCTACTACCACAGTGCACTGAAAGGTATTTGGACTGATTTGTAGGAGATTCT